ATCATATTAAAAAATATTAAATATACTAGACTTAATAGAATTTTTATTCAAGATAATGAATGAGCATAAATAAATAATTGTAATAGTAAGTGAATTAGCTATCAATGCTTTTATAAAGATATTGCATTATAGTTGAAAAGTTTTAAAAAGTTGAATTAAGATGGATTTGATTATGCATGCTTAATATGAAACTTTACATTTCATTGATATCTTAAAGGCATTTGAATTTCAAAACTATTCTATTGAAGAAAAAAATAATAAGTTTAGTATTTTGAAGATCGTTATTAAAATCATACCTTGCAAGTTCATGTCATGGTGGAATTATACTTTGTCATTGCTGTAGTAAAACATCATAAAAGTCCAAATCAATTCACAAGAATAAATGTCAAAAATTATAAAAAGATATTGATTAATAAAACTTTATACTTGGTACTTTTAAAGAAATCAAAAGGAGAAAAGACACTCATTTTGCAATACAATTGAGCTTTGAAAATATAAACAAAGCCTGCTCAAGCACTGAATAGAGCCTACAAAAACAAAATGCTAGCGGCTAGTATCTATGGTAAAATCACAATTTGTCCTATGAGTTGTTCATGACATGTGAATTATAAAACAATCTATGGAATATCTTACATAATGACTTGTGAATTCGAGAAAAGATAAAAAAAATTTGATGAAAATAAAGATCCATCCGTATTATGAATGAGAGTCACTACTTATTTTCTTAAGCAATCTTAATATATAGATATAAATGAATTCAACAATAACAAAGTTCATAGTATTATACTACACCTTCTAAATAATGCATTCAATCACAAATCAACAAACAATCTCATTAATCTCCATGAGATTTGCTAGCCCCAAATCTTCCAATAGTCATCTTTATCAATATTCTAAAAATAATTTAAAAAAAAAAAAAAAAAAAAAAAAAAAAAAAAACTCTTAGGAAAAAAACTACAGAAGGCTTATCTTTCTATCAATAATGAGTCAGCAATCTCTTACGTGGTTGTACCCTAACACATCTTCTAAAGTATAAACCTTCTCTTCTGTGCCTACTTCCGCCATAGCTAATCCACATTTGCATTTCAATCAATCAAAAGAAACCTCATTATTGGATTTTCTTCTCTACATGTCAATTTACAAAATCCAAACTAATACAATTCCACATTCTTTTACAAGTGGCCGTCTTACAAGCGCTGTCATATAACTTAATGTCTTGCTTCAAAATATGCCAAATACTTTGTTGTGGAAGATAAAAGAAATTTACAACAATAAATCTTAACAATTCTAATAGAATCATATATAAATTTTAATTAAAGCTTAATAAATATAATCAAATATTGATTAAGTCCAATTAAATATTCAAATAAGTTACAAAAAAATATAAAAAAATCCTAAAAAACTTCTAAAAAAATAATGAAGAAATAATAAAAATAAAATCCTTAAGAAATAATAATAATAAATACATCTTCTAAAGTATAAAGAAATCTAAAAGAAATAATAATAAAAATAAAATCAACCTTTAAAGAAATCCAAAGAAATCCAAAAGAAAAACTAAAAAAATCTTTAAAAAATCCACTAGAGTCTTAAAGAAATCTTTATTAAATCCTAAAGAAATCCTAAAAAAATACTAAAGAAATTCTAAAGAAATTCAAAAGAAATCAAAAATAAAAATTTAGAAAAATAATCCTTAAAGAAATTCTGAAGAAATTTAAAAGAAATCTACAAAAACCTTGAAGAAATCCTTAAGAAATCCTAAGAAAATCCTAAAAAAATTCTAAAGACACCTTAAACCATAAACCAATTATAATTAGATTATAAATCCTAAATCAAATCCTAATCAACTCATAAACAAACCGTAACTAAAATCTAAGAAATTTAAACCAATCCTAAGATAAATTTAAAACCTCAATATCTTTTGACTAAACTATTGATTTTACTTTAAAATTTACATATTTCTTAATCTCTTAGTAAAAAACAAGCATAAATTATGATATTTTTCTCTCATTTCATAAGTTTGAAGAGAATCAAACTTATGAAATGAGAGAAAAATATCATAATCCACTCAAGTATTGGCCAGCTTCCACCTTTGATCTTTATGTTGATTTTCTAGTAGTAATAATTCCTAATTAAACAATCAACTTTCTCTAAAATTTTGCATAAGTATTGGAAGTCAAGTCAAATATTAGCTCTATAAAAATCATTTCAATTAAACTAGAATTTTTTTGCAAATCTTAGATAAACTTATTAGGTATAAAAATCCAATTTCTAAGATCCTAACTCACTTGAACTTTAATAACCTCCAATCCATTTGTTCAATTGAGCTCAAATTCACTAAATATGTTCAACACAACTACATCTACAATTTCACAAAATTTTATATGTAGATCTACTATAATATTCATAAAATTATCCAAATGATAAATCCTATTTTATTTCACAAAACCCAGAGTCACCTAAAACAACTCTGACTTTATAAAGCTCTTACAAAGTTATTAAAAACTTATATCATTCAAAATAAATGCTTTAAAAAACCTTATTAAGTCTTCTCTCAAATTCTATTCTTTTATTTTTTAAAGAATCCCAAAATTGTAGTAGGTGTGTGATTTTGTGCCTCGGGATTTGATTTTGAGCCAGTTTAACAACTAATCCTCTTTGAGTATCAATTTTTGTCTTCTTGAGGTAAATTTTGTTAAAATCAATTTCTAATTCTTTCCTTACATATGCCTATATCCTTTAATTTTCTAATATACCTTGTTTTATCTTATTTATGATCCTACAAATTAAGTAGAGTCCACTTTACAAAAAGGCACCATTTGTACTTTTAGTTTACTATCCTTTGACTATAATCTACATTTCTAAAATAATTTGATATAATATTTTGAAATAAGATCTCTTAAAATATAATATTTTCTTCACTCTTTTATCTATTAGCTATGTTATATTATAATAAAATTTGCTCAAACAACACAAGCAAAAATAGAAGAAGAGAGGAGTGACAATAAGTACTAAATACAACAGCTCAAGTATGTATTTTTAGAGGTTTTAGTGCATAAAGGAATCGGCCTTGGGAGTGTTGTCCCAGAACCTAGATTTTCATAATGTGCTCATTCAAATCTTGTAGATCTCAAGTAAACTATTGATAGATATTTCAAGGGCCAAGGATTCTAAACTATTTGTGGAATGGGATATAAATGGATGGATGGATGGATGGATCGATGGATGGATAGATAGATAGATAGATTCTTAGGTTGAGATATGCCTCTCTAAAAATCACTAATCAAAACTATCAAGCAACCAAACTTCTTTTTACAAAATTAAGCAACCCAAATACATCTAATCTTCAAATTAAATGAGATTTGTACCTATGGGAAGCTTACAACTAGATTTATCTTCTTCTAACATTTCAACTCCAAAGATGACTTACAAAAGATGCCAAAGTTGCTCTAACTTCTAAACCCTTAAATCCTAAAGTCAAAACCTTCTAAGCTTTGAAAGCTCACCACAAATTTTTCTAATTTTTAAATGAAGCAATTTTTATCTTGTTGAAAAGCTTACAACTTAGAGCTTCCATATCCAAAGTTTCACCCAAAATTTTCCAAAGATAGAGAGAAATATTCAAAAAATCCTAATATACCTAAAACCACCACTTCTCTAATAATTTGTCCCTCTTTTCTTAAAAATTTGCCCTTCTTCTTTCACCCTATCACTCCAATATCCCCTTTTGCTTAAAGAAGTCACCTCTTGACCTTTAACTAGCTTTAATCTCTCAATATCCATCTTGAATCACAATAGAATTGGATATGTATACTAAAATGCAGTATCCTCTAAGTTTGAACAACTCATTTAAGGCAACAATCTCCCAATCTAAATTCCATTCAAATTTATGAATATATTAGCATAATATTTCACTCTTCTACAAGTAAAAGTAATTATCTTCCAAATAATTTAGATGCACTTAAATTAAGTACATTAGGAAAATGGAGATAGGATGTTACAAAAGAGAGACACATGCTATGCACTATCAGGCAATTATAATAGTCTATTTTTTTTCTTTTTCGTCAATCTATCCAAGAATACATATCATATGGATTTTTTTTATTTTTTTTACTTATTTTTTTGTTGATACACTAAATCATAAAAGCCACTATTTGGATCCATATAATAATAAAAATATTAATGGAATTGTCAAATTTCTAATATCTTATCAAGGCAAAAAGTATATATACTATTATCAACAATTTTAGGAATATATATGCTACTATTAAGAATGCAAGGGTATTATTGATATTTGGATATAATTGAAGGATATACAAGATATTTTTCCTTAAATTAATATAGTCATATACAACTACAAAACTATATATATATATATATATATATAAGCACATGGAATCTATAATAACTTTAAATTGCCAATAAATGATAGGTTAGGACTAAGAGCTTTACAATTCAAATCCCAAATATTAAATCCTTAACTTTTCTCAAAAAATACAAACACATATTTAATAACCTTGCAACTTTACAAAAAAAACAAAGAAACAAATAAACAAATATATGCATGTGCCAACTAGGACCAGCAATCCAACTGCTACTTTGCATGCACATTTCACCCAATTTGATGCTCCATCCACCTAATTTTCATTGAACCACATAATCTTCCCCTACTAGATAATCATCCACTTTTTTAGTGCTCTTTCAGCTCCCTAATGGAAGTAATAGCGGCAAAAACAATATTGTAACAAACTGTTAGACCTTTGTTATTCTGAAATACATAAGTGTGTGTTTTGTCGAAGAATCGCCCAGCAGCAGCAACGGTGAGGAGGATGAAAACACCAGTTTGTGGGATTATGGAAGTTAGGGCTCAATGCAAGCACGTCGCAAATCTAGTAGAGAAAAGTAGTGAGATGATTGAGCACCTCAAAGGAAGAACTCAGGAAAAACCATAACTTCAGGAGTGAGATGACTGCAAATGGCCATTCAGGTTGTGAACCCAGAGCTGCAAATCTAATAATCTCAAATCTTTTTATTTGCTTCAGAGCTTTCGACGTTACATTTCAGAAGACCAGCTTGACTCACCTTTCTACAGCACAGCATTGCAGCGATGCATTTGACGTACTAATCCAGTTTTCGATGCCTGCTCCGCTCAGGCCCAAGGTTTGATCGAAAGACTCCGGAATCAGGTGAGCCTGGGACCTCTTGTTGAAGAAAGCAAAACCTCTCTCTCTATCTCTCTCCTTTGTTCATTTCACTTTGTCCAGGGTTTGAAGAGCCCCGACCTAACTACGCAATTGAATTTGCCACAAAACTTCATGATCAGAAGCTCACATCCATGAAAGCTGAAGCATTTTGTGACGTAAGGGCCTTCTGGGTACATGACCATGACCTATTCCAGCAGGGAGAACACGGGTCTTGGCGTAGGATCTTCCAGCGCAGCTACTATATTTCAAAAAAAACCCCACACAGACTACCTTGAGCCTTGTAACCTCTTCAGTTTTGAAAGGAGCTCTTCTTTCTGAGCAGCAGCCTCAGCGACCCGCACTGTGGTGATGAAAAACCGGTCCTGTAAGTCGAGAAGCTCGGCCTCCAGATCCTTCGTCTGTTTTCTCAACTTCTGAAGCTCTTTCAACACATCGTCCCCATCAAGGTTCAACAGAGCAGCGGATTGCACAGAATTTTGCCTGGTGAAGGCCTCATGGAGCTGAAGTTTGTACATGTTTCTCACTTCGACAGCTTCCGCAAGCTTCGACTCCAGAACTGCAACTTTGGATTCAAGATCTTCGACTAGGTTAATCGGCTCCGGCTTGGTTGGCCTTGTGTCCAGTATTTGGGTCTTCATCATTTCTTGTGTAAATTGGAATTGCAGCTCACGTTCGCGGAGTTGAAGCATTGAATTTTGACGCTGGAGGCGTGTCAGTTCCATCTGCAGTTGGATGCTTGAGTCATTTCCACCTTGCAGCAACTGCTCGTTTGCAAGTTCCAAGCATTTGACCTTGTTCAGCAACTCATTCTCCTTCTCTACGTGATTGATGCTTTGGGTTTCAAGAGCCGCACACTTTCTTCTCAACATTTCTTCCAGGTTTTTCACTTTTTCCTGCAAGTTCTGAATTTCCTTGGCGGCACGAAGTTCAAATCTTGGAGACATCGGTCCCATGCCCACGGAAACCTGAGACATTTGTCTCGTAAGCCTGATTACTGATGATCCAGTTCTTGCCGGTGGAGGAATTGCAGGTTCAGATGCTTCCTGAATCTCCGAAGCTGGAAATATAGACCAAAACCGTTAGTACCAATGGACATTAGTCTATACATATACAATAAAGCATAATTTAGACGTTGATGAAGCATGTAACCTATTGTCCAAATTACGAGCAAGACATGCAGACCATTTTCTTGCTTCCCCAACAAAGAGCGGCGCCGCTGACATTTGAACAGTCTACAATGAACCTGATTACTTAGAGTAAAATGCTCGACGAGGGTATGGTCAATAACATCCCTGGTTGCAACTATACCCGATTACAAAAGACATTAGACAGAACAGATTCGTAACCACTACTACGACACAAGCACAAGAAAAAGCGGTTGAACTGCATGCCATCAGCCATACTTGTGATAGTAGAATCTGAAAGGTGATTTAAAGATGATCTAAAGAGCTGAACCAGAAATTTACAGAGAAACACTGTACGAATGTAGATATGGAAGAACGAAGAAGCCCTCTTTGCAATGGTGGCATTCACGCTGCGAATTTCACCAAGCAGTATCGAAGTTTAAGCACGAACACCTACCGCTTGCAAATCTTGACGTCGGCAGCGATTCAGTTGCGCTCGCCAAGTTGTATTCGTGTTCTATCCTCTTGACAGGCTTGATTGTCTCTGCTTGTACCTGCAATTCGGCTACTGGGGATTCTTTGATGGCTAACTGTGATTCAGCTGCAGGAGCTTCCGTGGTAATGCTAGCATCCTGCTTGATGCTCCCCTCACCCACTGGCAAGTTGGCAGTGCTTGACTGCAGCTCAGCTGTTGAGTCCTCTTTCAAAACCGTAGCATTCTGGTTGCTGATTCTGTCAGCCACGTCAGAATCATCAGCCTTGGCTTTAAGAAGCGTAGCAATCTGCTTGGTGCTTCCACCAGCTGCATCAGGGTCATCACTATTTGACCGATTTGTTACCAGTTGAGGGGAAGATTTTTTGAGGAGGGCCTGCCCCTCTACCTGGGTACTCTGTATATTGCTGCTTTCAACTGCTTTCGAGTTGTCCCCACCCAATTGCGACTCGGGTGATACAACCACATTCTCAGCAGGAGTAGTACTCTGTTCCTGGTCGTTATCAAGGCTTATATCCTCCATATCCTCAGTAACACTGGCTATGCTGACCCTAACAGGTGATTCTTGCACAATTGAAGGAGCAGCCTCTAAGGCGGCGTCGTCATCCTCACTGGTAGTAGAAACAATATGTGTATCCTCTTCGATGGATGGAGTCGGAGGTAGCGCATCCCCTGACGTAATTGAAACAGGGTTATCAGCGAGTTCAAATGAAGTTGACCTCTTTCCGGTGTCAACATCGGTTTTGTCAGCATCCTTGGTTGTAACTTCTCCAGCCGTGAATTTATCCGCATCGACATTGCCGTTTCCAACGGATTCCGGCTCAGATTCGGGTTTCAAGTCATTCGGAACTTGGCTTAACTTATCCTTTGTCCTGGTGCTCAAAATCGAGTCTGAGCTACCATTGCTATTACCGAAATCAAAATCCTCCTTCACTGGTTTGTCTAGTAGGGCGAAATCTAAGACTTCAGCTTTGTCTGGTTTGCGTAGCTGAGCATCGATGCTTTCCTCTACTAAAGCGATACTTTCGGCTCCCATAGTGGAATAAGTGCACTCTAGCCCAGCTGATCACACCCAAATCTGCCACTCCAACTCGAGAGTTTGCGCATTCTAAGAAACCCTTCCGTTCGAATTCCAAACCTTGAGCACAAGATCCTGTGAAAAGAGATTGTAAAAGGTTACTAACCACGTCTACAAGTTTCACAGTATTCTGGAAACAAACATTCCGGAACGCTTCTCATGCAGTTGCAATTCAGAATACCAGACTCAGGAACTCCATCTTAACAGAAAATCAAAATGCCTGACCAAAAAATTCATTTCACATTAAGTGGGCACAGCACGGCCAGTTTTTATGCACTCCATAACGATGGTTCAGTAATGTCCATCGCCAACATGCGCCGAAACAACGCTATATTTTCAAGAAGACAAAGAAAATGAAAACTCCAGTGCTAAGTTCGAGACTCTCAAAGAACACACTTGCGCTGTTGAGTGCACACGCAAACGCGCAACTCTCCATTACAGACTATTGACCCATTGCAACCCTCATCTTCCGTCACGAGCATCACAAAGACGAGACATGACTATGATGAATTCAACTTTGCGAATTCACAATGACCCCTTCGTTCGTCAATGTTGAGCTTGATTCGGCGTCGAGTGCTACAAAGCTACACCCTGGATAGAAGTACTTGGGATTAAACTCCTACACTTCTTGCAACGAGACCGAACAATGTAGCAAGCTACAGGTAAAAACACCACTATGATACGACACATTAGACACTCACCCAACTCAATGTTCGGGAAAAAAAAAGACTGCAACCGTCACAAAACTCCAGAGCTTAGAAACCATTCCATTATGTAAGCGAGGCCTCACACATTCGGTAGAGGCAAAATTAGAATACAATTGACCTTTTGGAAACCATGTCAGAATCCGTTCCCCCTTCACTCTGCAACTGACATATTTCCAAGCACAAGGATAATTTAGAACTGTGAATTCATGCAAGACGGCGCATTCCTCTGCCTGAAGCTCATCACAATTCTGGACCTGCAAATTCTCATACACCAGGGGAATGGTGCTGCGCCAACACGCACTACGCGTCGTCAACCAAAACCAACACCGGCGGCTCCAGGTCGTAGCATAGTCTGCCTCCACTCGTAACTCGGTAACCAATCCCCCAGATCTACTTATGCCTGGCTCTTCACCAACTCCACCAACAACAAGCGCGCTTCCATGAGACACAAACACCTCTCGCTTGGTCGCTGGCTGGCTCGTTCGAAGCAGCATCCAACGAACCCAATTCTCGGGCGTGATGATATGTTACGACCAACAAAGGCCCCAACAGCACAGGAAGCGTATTCCAAAGGACATGATTGAAAAGCACCGCAATTAAAGCCCCACAAAAAAGAAGATGCCACGATTAGAAACCCAATGCGGGAAATAAGAGGCGGAGGCGAACCACGTGGGAGCTGCGGTGGGGGAAAGTCCGGAAGATCGAGAGGTTCACGGCGCCGAATCGCAACCCGAGTCTTCCGCCGAACCCGATGCATTCTCTCCACGGATTTGGTGCAATTCCCGACACTCGCCAAATACTCGTACAACCAACTGCGCCTTGTCTTTCCTCGTCTCGCCTCTCAACTCACCCCACTCCTCCTCCTCCTCGTCGCGGACGGAGTCGCGGCCACAACCGGCTGCGCCATCGCTGCGCGGCTCAGTCTCCGTTCGTCAATTCTAACTAGTTTATTTTTATTTTTATTTTATTGAGTATGGTTGACTGGCCGCTTCCTTTGCTATTCATGTAATGACGGGGGAGATCTGAATTAGCACCAACAAAGTCTATGATTCGTGCAAAAGGTGTAAATTATCGATTCCTCCTTGTCTTTTGGGCTGGGTCTGGATTTATTTTGAGGTGAGTGGGCTCTAGAGGATTCTAGAACAACATTGTGTGGTCATGTCACTAACTGATTTCAAGCTTTTTGGGGGGAAGATTGTTTTGCTTTTGTAAGGGGGGGCTTGATGGATTCTCTCTTTGTGGTCTGATGTAGTGTATTCTTCCTTGTTCAAGAGAAAATATGAAATTTGCTTTCATATAACCGGTTTTTAAAATTCTCTTACAACTTAATTGGAGTGTAACTTATTAAAGAAGGAAGTACAACAATTTTGAATAAAATTGTTTTGTTCATTGTTTGTTTGTTTGTTTGTTTTTTTCTTTTTTTTGTTTATTTTTTATTTTATTTTATTTTTTGCAAAAGAAAATATATTACATAGTTACAATCAATTATTTGTTGTATTTTGTTTGCCAAGCTTTTGTTTAAAATCTTTGTGTTATAAGATACTTCATTGTACTTCAGCGCATAAAATTTGAGTTGTAAAAGAGTTTTAAATGGTTATCGAGGTAAGATCTAAATAATGACATTCAAACATATTTATAAATTACTATTTTTAGTATTTATTTTGATCAATTTTATATTTTTTACTTTACTTTTAAAATAAAACAAGAAATTTATAATGGTTTATGTTTAGTATTTTAAAATTTTAAAACCAAAATTTATAATATAAACCATATTCTTCTACATGTTTCTTTTTTTTGAATTTATTATTTTATTTTTATATATTTTCTTCATGATTTTTAAAGGTATATTTGATAATCAAATTTATTTCTATAAAGACGTTTTATATAATAATAATGGATAGTATTTACAATTTTTTAGATCACAAAGTAAATGTATTATTTTCATATGTGCTAAATTGAGTTGGGATTCTAATTCAAGTGATATTTGTATATAAATATATTAAAGAAATTTATTATTTACACATAATAAACATCAACATATTTATTTATTTATTTCTACTTTTATGTCTTTTGATAAATTATGTTTCTTTTCTTTTCTTTTCTTTTTACAAATTTTCTTTTCTTTTTACAAATTTTATATTCTTTTATTCTCACAATTTTTAGTTAAGAACCTCATGTTATGTAGTATAAATCAATGTACAACAAAGAATTATAAATTGAAAGTAAAGTAATCTCTATTATAACATTTATTTGCAAGAAGAAAAACACAAGTAATTCTAACAAGACATTGTTAAAATTTGAGGTTCTTTTAGTCAACTTTTTATTTAAACAATTCAAAACAAATATAATAATTATATCAATCTCAAAAATTATATTATATAGATATGAAACTATATTATATTATGAATCAATATACATTTTATAAAATATATTAAATAAATTAAATATATTCATTTATATATATATATAGAGAGAGAGAGAGAGAGAGTGTGTGTGTGTGTGTGTGTATTGTTACTACCACCACAACTTGCCATCCACTACACGCTATCACAATTTTTGTTAATGCCACTACAAGTTGCTCAAAATTTAAATTATATATCACAATTAATAAAGAATATATATATATATATATATATATATTATAAAATACATAGTGGTATGCAACACAAAATTAGAACAACTTATGGTGGCATTAACAAAAACTATGATGACATATAGTCAATGGCAAGTTGTGGTGATAATAGCAAAAACTATAGTGGCATTAACTTTCCATATATATATATATATATATATATATATATTTACATATTAATTCAAAGTTGATAAAAACAAAAAAAATATTATTATCATAATTTTATTACAAACATGAAGCACAATCTTTTACTTTTTTTTACACATACTAGTAGATAAATAACACTCACTTTACTATATATTTATTAAAACAAAATAGCAATCTATAACAATGGTTTGTAGGTCGTAATCCTGGCCTGGCCAATGTGAATGCATTAGCTTTGCATATTAAGCAAGCTTAACCTAACTTCCTGGCTCTACTAAAAATCCACAATGATCTAGTCATCGTCAGGTATTGGGTCATTGTTTACTTCATCCTCTTGTGCGTCTACTTGCGGCTGCCTTCGCCGCTGATGGCCGCCGCCTCCATCTCACTCCCTTCAAGGCTACCTCCCTCGATACATCCCTCGATCTCGTCATAACAATATTGTTCATTGCCTCCACTGCTTTGAAAAGATTAGCAAGAGGCGAATTCTTTGGTGGAGACGCTGGATACCCTTCTGAAGTTGAAAAAAGTTTGACATCATGAGGTATGCATAGGTGACATGATGGCTGAGGACGAGTCTAGGACCATCTCCCGCACAGAGCATCTTTTCTTTGAGGAGCGATTTGTCCGGGAGAATCAATGCTTGAAGAAATCGGAGTCTACGGAGGAATTCTTTATGCCACCTGAGAGCCCAGAATTTTCTACAACCTTGGCAGACGACCACCAGGCCGAAGGTCAATGTTTGGGAACATCACAAGTAGATGAGTGCCTCAGACACAGCCTGAGAATTCTAGATCTATACAACTCTCACTGACCACCACTGGTCGACTTTAGTGAAGATCACCAACGCTCTCGCTGCGCTGTTACAGAACCAAGATCAGTCACATCAATAGCTACGCAAGTCAGACGAAATTCCACTCAATGGCTGAACCCCACTTCCAGCTATCTATCCACACCTATCACCACCCTCCGCGAAGTACCTATACATCCTCAACTTGGCACATGAGGATGACCACTCCGTAGGAACGACATCCTGCAACTCCTCATGGGGCCGTTATGTTATCATTTGTTCCAACTGTGCAAGAATCTGAACGTGCTCACCAACACTCGACCTGCATCATTTCCTCGGCCGACACGCTAAGCAAGTGGCACCACTTTTTGAATCTGGTGCAACGATCTACGGATCATTCCAGGCACCAATAACTCGTTAAACACTTCTGAGTGGAACGTGGGGCATACCAACATATCCGCATTCGGCCACTTCGACTTCCTGGTGGCACTCAAACAGAAGCAACGCTTGCTACATTTATTGGCGTGGCAGCGAACAAAGAACTTTGATTTAATGGGACAAAGAACAGCACTACATTCCAAGCAATTCCAACTGCTGGACCTAGAGATACCTCAAACATTTTGGTTGGCACAGGCCATCTCCAAAGAATCCCCCAACATCTGGTAAGCACTAGCTCTTGCTCCCTCTTCTGTACATTCCTATGTCTGGGACATCTCGTCCTTCAAAGCTCGAAGTGTCTTGCGAGCTGCAAACTACGCCCAACAACGTCTCGGCAGTTTGACCATTGACAACGGAGGGATTTGGTCAAGGCTCATCCAACCTCAACCTGCTTCAATGTGACGTGGCTATGACGACACCATATTGTATACAACCTCGTCAATACAAGATCCGGCAACCATATTGCATACAACCTCGTCAAATCAAGCTCCGGCGTTGATCAACTATGACGCACATTACTAGCTCTTTTCCCAGTAGAAATTGCGGATCTTCTTCTCGAAGACAACATGCACCACACCGTCACGCCAGTGGTTTACAACATGCACACCATACTAGAACAACCAAGATCTCGAGCCACTGCTCCACCACCATGGATCGTCCCTCGACCTGACCTAGGCACACTATCAACTCTCTCATTCGGTCGCTACTTCTCACTCAACGACAACTTCTTAGCCTTCTTGCAAGACTTCAACACCATAGCTGAGCATACTTTGCCCCGGACTCCTAATGCATATCCCAATTTTTCTCCGCCTCGTTGGAGATCGCAAGGACCTGTTTGAATCCCGATTAGAATCTAATCATTTGGCACATGGCTCCAAGTGCAACACCTGGCCAAGAAACTCTTCATACCCACGGACCAGCGCAATGCGACCTGGGACTTTCTCCAAACCACAAAATATAGACATGGTGACAACCTTGACTTCCATTACTCTCGATTTCTTTGTCATGCCAAGCTTGCAATAAGCGACGAACATGAATTCATGAGACAAACAGCTCACTCATACTTCATCCGATCGCTCCCGTCGGACCTACGTCACGAGGCTGGAATCCACCAATTCGCCAATGGTGACTCCATGTTGGAACATCTCAAACTTTGCCTTGAATTCTTGATACCGCATGACACCAAAACGAAGACTCCAATAATCACCACTCTTGAAAACGTCCCCAATACTATAACCTCGCAAGAGGAGGCCGACCTCAAGCTCGCTCTCACCAAAATCACGGCCCAGCTCCACTCACACAGATCTTTCGCACAATAGCAACCATCAAAGCCTTCAACGAGCGGGCAGCAAGAGATGAACCGCCCGAGCTACCAACGAAGGCCCTACGTTTGTGCCATCTGCCAAGAATCCGGCCACAGCACATTTAGGTGCATGCTTCATTCCATTCTATTGCAGATATTGTCGAAATTAAAAGCCAAGCTCGCTCAACAAAAGGGTGAGACAGCACGAGAACGCCCTTTAAGCTAGTAGATGCCTCCGCCTGTGGCTCGGAGGCACCGACCACTTGAAGTCCACGACTCATCCTGATATCAACAAATTTCTAATCTCTCAATTGCCGACCCCCCTCCAAGCAACTCCAATTCATTTGCACATGGGTATTCCAAGGCCTCATGAATGATATTGCACGACCATGTATTGTGGATACCGGATGCAACCTCATTGTTTTCCCCCTCAATCTCACTTGACTTCTCAATATGAAGATCATTCCCACCAACCAACAAGTCTTCATTGCCGATGGCACCACATATGCTCCATTGGGACTTGTCTCTGTCACCATCATCGTAGAAGTATGCTCCACGCATGTGCAAGTACTAGCTAGCACGAGCGACAATGTTTTACTAGGCCTCGACTAGCTCACCGCCACCAACTACATCCTTGACATCCTCCGGCGCAAGCTATCCATCTCCCTTCCAACGGAGGACTCCAAGATTGTCTCCCTGGCCTTGGTGGCGATACCTCCCGGCACCACTACTCTGTCAATATCTCTAGTCCCGACGACTGCATCCCTGCCAACTCCTCGATTTGACTGGCCGTTGTTTTTCAAACATCAGCCATCGGGGCATGGCCTGTACATCTGGGACATCCCCATTCCAAGCACCAAAAGAACACCTCCGCTCTAAATTCCTCAATTAGCTACACTTATATGGACTGCACTCATATTTTAGATTCATGCCCACACCCAAATCATTCACGCCACCAATCAAGCGTTCATCTGCTCCTCCGAGCACTTCATAAAAGTCGAGCCTTTGCGCACCTTGGCGCATCGTAGTAGCGGCCTCGTCGCTCCTGGTCTTTATGATCGCCGCTTCCAAGGCGAAATTAAGCCCCTTGGTGGCCAACCCAACCGCAACGCCCATACAAATCAATGCACATCAAATCTTGGCCAAATTATCTGCGGTACCCGTACACACAGTCCAGAATCTCATCTCAATCCCAGAAGCACAGATGGGGATACCAGAGGTCCCACAATCGCAGCCAGACAACGCCAACATGCTCACAACAAAACCACCAACCCCGCTGATCGTCAACACTAGTCAACAGGCCAAGTTCATTCAGGTTGTCACCGACATTACCCTCGATGTAGGACTTACACATTAGCAGCGACAACGTGTAATGCAGCTCATCCATGATAATTTAGACGTCTTCAATTTCAGACCCACGAACCTCAACCATACCACGCTCCTAGCCCACGACATTGTGACCGAGCCCCCTCCCCCAGTGCAACAGGTTGGATATCGCAAATCCAACAAGGAGCGAGAAATTATACAACAGGAGATCCACAAACTACTCGACTTTGGAGTAGCCTCTCCCTCACTCTCACCATGGGCATCATCCGTCGTATTAGTCAGAAAAAAAAGACGGGAGCACACGATTTTGCATTGACTATCGCCAACTGAATGCTATCACAAAGAAGGATATCTATCCGCTTCCTCGCATTGATGACACACTCAATCAGCTGCATTGTGCAACAATTTTTCCCTCCATCGACTTGGCCGCAAGTTTTTGGCAAGTACTCCACGAAGACACAGCTAAAGAAAAATCAGCGTTTATCTACCGCAAAGGATTGTTTCACTTTAACACAATGCACATGGGCCTTTGCAACACCACCCACACGTTCCAGAGGCTCATGGACATGGTCCTCAGGAAACTCCGATGGGAATAAGCGTTGGTATACGTTGATGATGTCAACATGTACTCCAAAATCTTTGATGATCACATACAAGACCTCCAGCGCATCTTTGACAAACTGCATGCAGCTGGCCTCAAGTTGAAGGCCATGAAATGTACAATTGACCTTCCCAAACTTATTTATCTCAGACATGTAATTTCAGCACAAGGCCTATGACCAGATCTGAGCAAAGTCCACACCGTCCAGCAGTTCCCTTGTCCTACAAATCTAAAGTGTATCCAATCCTTTGTGGGGCTTGTTAACCACTACCGTAGATTCATTCACGACTTTGATACGCTGGCTGCCCCACTCCATGGACTCATGAAGAAAGGCACCACATTCATTTGGCACATGATGGAAAAACAAGATCTTTACCACCTCAAGACCATGCTATGTTCAGCCCCTCTTCTTGTATACCCAAATTTCAAACTGTCTTTCCTGTTTCAAATGGATGCCTCGCGGGATGCGATAGGGGCCATCCTAAGCCAGTAGGTCAATGATCACAAAAGAGTGGTCGCTTACGCCTCTCGCCGTTTGTCAAAAGCTAAGAAAAACTACAGCATAAGTGACAAGGAGGGCCTAATGATGGTGTTTGACGTCAAACACTACTGGACATACTTGCACGGATCCAGATTTTGCACAAAGATCGATCCTGCGCCACTATGAGCCCTTCTAAAATCTCGTGAACTCACTGGCTGGCTAGCTCGCTGGGCTCTACTACCTCAATTATATGACTGTGATATCGTTCACAAGCCAGGCCGGCTACATCGCCATGTTGACGTCCTCACTTGCACAGTAACCATAACACCAGAACCATACTCCACGTTTCAAGCCATCACCGCCGCTACATTACTTCATATCACGACCAACAATGATGGTAGTTGGCACATTTGTTATCATGAATCATGATAACCATGCACCCTGGAGCCAGCCTCGCTCGAGGACAATCACTCCATGACATCCTAGATTTGTATCACTTTGTCTCCATGTTTTTCTCTTCGTAGTAGTTGTAGTTGAATTTCAGTTTTTTCTTTGTTTCCGTTCCACTTTGAATCTTGGCCTTCCCTCTCACTTCTACTCCTCGCACTCACCCTGCCAGTTTTTTTATTGCCTTCACTATCACACACACCCCCACTGAGGCAGACACTCCGCACCTGGTCACTTGAAAAACGCGACTGCTCCAGGAATTTGCAAGGGAGCATGGATGACACCCTATAAAGCACTATGCTCGCAACTTGCCTCTTTGGCACAATTTCAAAGGGGGTAGATAGAACTCTTGCCAAGAGAATCCAATAACACCTTCCCCAACACTTCGCGCGAGGTGATATCTTCTTTTATGAGAAGAACATCCACGAGGGCATTGTGTTGCTCCAAGTTCCCAGGCGATCGGAACTCAATAAAATTATGATGTTGTATCATGTCTCACACCCAGTGGGACATTTCTCAGTAAAACGGACAGTCAACCGCCTACAAGAGACATACCACTGGATTGGAATGATCAAAGATGTGACCAGCTTTATCAAGTCTTGCGAGGCCTACCAACTCAAGAAACCTCAACCCTGAAGCAGCAAACCAAGACTCCTCACAATTATTCTGGTCACCGAGCCATTTGCACGTGTTGGATTAGACCTCATGGGACCTCTCATTCCGACCATTGAACATCATCGCTATGTAATCATAGCCACTAATTACTTGATGAAATGGGTGGAGGGTTCAACCATTAGTATCCAAAGACTGCGACAACATCGCACAATTTTTCTTCGATCAAATCATCATGATTCACAACAGCCCCAGGGAGATACTTATCGACAACGAATCCAAATTCTGCAACGCACTGGTGGATATCATGGCAATACACATGCAAATCAAACACACCACGATCTAACCGTATCATCCGCAATGCAACGGTCTCACGGAAAGGTTCAGCCGCACCCTCCATGGCCTAATTGAAAGGAATGGATTGTACGATGACCGTTGACACTCCATGTTGCCGGCACTAATTTTTGCATACCGAACTAGTACACTCCAGTACCGAGATCTCTCCCTATGAGTTCCTGTATGGGCGCAAGCCGCGGCTACCAATGGCACCATCAGGACCAAAAACCGCTGTAACAAAACCACTGAACCTTGATCATTACCTGAATGGCCTCCTCCGATACCGCACCTACCTCCACAAGAAAGGACACCTCAACATCGCCAAGGCACAGCGAGCTCAAAAAAAAAATCAATACAAATAAGTTCGATACACCAAGAAACTGGCTATCGGCAACATCGTCGTTTGACGGAAGAAAAAAAGATTGAGAAGAAAGGAAAATTTCGTGCGAAGTACGTTGGACCTTACCAAGTCGTGGCTATTTACGATCACGGTCACAAATTTCAGATCATACTGATTCGGCCTAACGTCGAGGACATCTCTTTCTTCGTGCCCGGTTTCGACCTTATGCCATGTAGTCTAGATATGGATCTCACAAGGATCAATGTAACAAGAAGAGAAGTTAGTTACTCTGCAGAAATGTCCGTGCTCGCGGATACAAGGGAAGAAGAGTATCTCTACTTATGTAGAAGAAAGGAACGAGCCAGGTCGTAATCCTGGCCCGGCCAATGTGAACCCATTTGCTCCGCGTATTAACCAAGCTTAACCTAACTTCCTGGCTCTAATAAAAACCCACAATGATCTAGTCATTGTCAAGTGCTTGGTCACTGTTTACTTCATTGTCTTGTGCGTCTAGTTGCAACCGCCCTCACCACTGACAGCCGCCGCCTCCACCTCACTCCCTTTGAGACTACCTCCAGTAGGGTTTTGGTACATCCCACAATCTCGTCACAATAGTATAGTTCATCGCCCCCACAAGATTAGCAAGCAGCAAATTCTTTACCCTACATGGTTTCCTACCATGAAGTGTTCTTATGTGTCTGGGATTCTTAATGATATTAGAGTTGTTTTGCAGTATTAAACATTAACATCCAACCATTTTTCATCACTGGTTACTTTTAAAAAAGAAAAGAAAATCAAGTGAATTCATGCTAACAAAAAAGTAGAGTGAAATGGAACCACATTGCACATGTATCTGGACCGGTGAAATATATAGCAGGTTTCTTAGGTTCTTCGACCTACGAGGGTCAGTTCTGGTGGTTTGAGACCTGCCAATGAAATGAACAGGGTGTAGAACCTAAAACGCCGGATACGATATTTAGACAAAGGCCAATAAGACACCTGATTAGTACAGAATCTCGTGTCCTTAAACAAAGCCTTGCTGTTGTTGAACTTAGCAGTGATTGAATTGCAGAATATTGGCTAGACACGATAAGAAAGTTTTTATTTTACTAGCACGGTACTAGGTTTGTCTTCAAATATTAGCTGATGAATTGGGATCCACTGCTAGCAGGTGCTCCAATCTGCAATCATCCAAGATGCTCCCGCATCGCAACATCAGAGTCAGATAGATGGGAACTTCATCTAGTAAATTGGTATGAACCAAACAAGGCCACCAGAGGGTAGGGAAGGATGTCCTTGAGTGGTACACAAAAAAACCACTTCATTGGTACCAGGATTTTAAATGGCATAATAACACTATTCCACTCCTGCCCATTCACAAACAAAATATTCTCCATTATGTGATTTAGTCCTTTGGAATCCTTCTGACCAGAGTAAACCTTTCGCGAGGTCTCAACTTCCTCGCACTTGCCTTCCTCCATTCCTGAAGACCAGTGACCTCGAATGTACCTGCAAACAAGCACACATCAAGCAATACACAGCATATGAATTCGTTTGACTCCGATAAGCATCAGCTACAAAACCAACGCAGAGCACAAGGTTAAGACAAGTTACGCTTGAATCGTAAATTGGGTAATTGGTAATTTGAAAAGTCGCGATTCTCTAATACCTGGCAACACAAGCATTGAACATTTCATGCACCCACTAAAATAGGATGCACGCAGTTGAAATCCATAAATTCATAAGTAAAATATGATACTATAATTGTCGTACCAAAATTTTACAATTGCAAGAGTCGACGATGGTGAGCCTTCAACGAATCGGCTTCCGTTGCATTAACTCGCATTTCGCAGCGGACACGACCAGCTCCTCCCAAACCAGAGCAAGAGTCACTTGGTCCCAAGGTGATAGCGAAGTAGAGGTATATCGTACAAAGTACAACTAAAAGCCCAAGCATGTTAAGTAAGAACCTATGGCGATTAGCAAGAGAACGCCATGAACTATCAGAAGATGATGAGCTTCTTTTGAAAGGGGATAGAGACGGAATGTTAGAGCCTCTTCGATGCCCTGAGGAAAAGAGATTGTCATTCCCCATATTTGCACTTGTCACTGAAATCTGATACCGGTAAGGGAGCGAAGAGCTAGTAGAATTTCCAAGAAGCACTTCTCAAGATGCTCAATGTTCACTGCATTTGGATTTCGTCACGAAAAATCCTGCCGGGCCCAACTATCTTTTCGAACATGTCAATCTCTACATTCGATAAACCCATCCATTGAAGGTCTGCAAAGAGAAAGAAGTAGCGACGTCAACAAATCGGGAACAACACTACTTCTAGAACTGAAGTTGCAATAGAGCATAGCATGAATGAAGCGATTCCGCAGCTTCCAGACAGCGCAATTTGTATGCCATAGGTGCTGCTTGACGTTAAAATACTACTTCCAACCCGAAAGGTGTCACAAGAGCAATCGTTCTAGTACTGACTTACAATTTATCCAGGAATAAAAATTTACAATCCTTGCTAACATCACCAAAAAGGCCATACGAGGAGAACACGAACTGAAACCCCCACAAGTTCAGTAAACATGGCTAGAAATAGAAATCGAGATTGGACACACTTGGGTAGGACATGTAATTTTGAATTTTACGGGATTTCGATATAAATGCGATTTAGTCCGTCAAAGGAAGGACGACTAAAGAACAATCACCAAAACATAAGTTCGAATCCTATAAATGAGAGTGAAATTCCGTTCCCAAACCTAGTAAGGAATGGCACGAAGCACAAACGACCTTCTTCAATGAGGTGAAATGTACGTAGATTAAATACGTTGAGTAGACTTTAACACGCAGCTTCGAGTGAAAAGTTCGGCCTAAATGCAAAGAAGATGAGCGTCTGCCAATATCACTTTCCCAAAACTCAATAGAATTCAATCCAATACCTAACAGTCCATTAAACAAAAAAAAATACAAAGATACTTGAGATTTCAGACGTACAGAAAATTAGATTACCAAAGCTTTCAGTTCTCTCTCCAACTGAATGTATATTGTACATATCTTTAAGCTGAAAAAATACTCGTTCCTTCATACGAAGAAGATCAGAAATGAAATGCGATTAAGAATCCAAAAGAACCTTACGGATCGTCTACGACACATGGAGTTAACTACCCTGTCAGACTATGGATAACTTTCTATTGAAAAAATAATCAATGCTTCACAAGAAGAAGCTCGAGAAAATGCAATTTGAAAACCTAATCATCTACAAGGAGAACATATGAAAGGACTACCTTGCGATATGGACGCATGTTGTGTTGATATGTTTAATAGACGTCAGACTCAATGCATATTCAGCTTGTTCTAGGTAAACAGAGCTTAAATACCTGACCGAATGCAATGAAATTCCCTAAACCGCTGGACCTGACTGTGCCGGCGATTGGAAAATACGTCAGCACCCACATACTCGAAAATGCATCCCACTGCATAAACTAAACCGCATATACACCCGCACTTCAAATGTCCAGATCTGAGAGGCACCAATCACCTCTGCCAGGAATTAACGAGGTTTGAATACGATGCACCGTCGACAAACTTAACACCTCGTAAGCCTTACGCCTCCTAATACGTATGAAGAAAGAGATGTGATCACCGACCACCTCACTCAACAACAGAAATGCCCCAGGCTCAATACACAGTACTAAAAAGAACACACACACAGACAACCTGGAGTCTCTCCAGCATTACTCATCCAATCTGATTCTATTCCCAAACCCTACAGCGTAACACGCAAACAATATGACATTCCGTGTAGAATACGACAAAACCCGGGCCAAACCCGCGCACCTCACACTAAGCTCTCCGCAGACGATAAAACCGTGTCGAAGCTACTTGGAGAAGCAACAGCAATCAACCAGAAATCGGAGCGACACGAAAGCAATAAAACAAACCAAGACCCGATTCGTCTCGTCCCTGTGATGAGTGTCCCACGCGACTCTTACTACCGCTCCGTCTATCGATGATCTGACGCTCCGGAGGCCGTGCCGTTGACGAGCGCCAGCGGCGACACCCGGTACCGCTTGCCTTTTCCGGCTCCGCCTCCTCTCGTCGTCGTCGTCGTCGTCGTCGTGTGTGTGTCTGTGTCTGACTGTTTTTCTCTCCCCGGCGCGACGACGACGTCATGGATCACAGCCCTGACTGCTGTAGTCGGAAACCGAGACATCGCGAGCAGGAGCCATCGACCATGGAACCTGGCTCTACTCGTCTGAAAACAAACCCTAAATTTAGAGCGAGGTGAAATTTTCAACATTTTATATTGCAGACCGGGATGAATGGCTTATTCAAAATAAAAATAAAATAAATAAAAAAATCCAGGGGTTTTCATTCGTTCCCTAAGAATACTAATAATACTTATAAAATGCAATTTTTGGCTTAAAATAATTTTTACGTATAATTGTAGAGTACTTTTATGATTGTTTTTGATAATGTTTGTCATTGACACTACAAGCCATGTTTGTAGTGATATATATATATATATATATACAATATTTAAGCCATGTTTAATCATGTCTATGTTCTTGCCATAATATTATACATATAGCTGATTCTTGTCTTTGAAACTATTTTCTACATAACGAGTAAAAAGTGAAGTGAAGATTAAAACATCATGGATAGGACTTGAGTTTAATTAGCAATACAAAAATGGAACTATTTTTTATATATATAATATTATATCAAATTCACTTCTATTTTAGTGTTTTAATCATGATTTGAAACTTTAAATTTATTTATATCTATTTTTTAAAAATAAAACACTAAAAAACTTATGAATATAATATAGATATCAATTAATCAATTGTATAATTAAAACATATATAATAACCACAAATATCTAATTTTTATAAAGATAATTTTTGTATTTTTAAACATAAATTTATAAATAATTTTTATTATTGTAAAAATATACGATGATTTGATAATTACAGATATAAAGTAAAATAATGATAGGTTAAAATAATGATAGGTCAATTTAATTTAGATAGGTTAAATGTTCTACACTTTTTTTTCAAAAAGTGTGTCATGGTATTAGAAGACAAAAAGAATCTGAAAGTAATGTCTAAGTCTTCTAAAATTACATTACTATATATCAAAATTTTAAAATATATATATTGTATTAGTTTTAAAATATTAAGAATATTTTATAGAAATAATCAAACATAATCAAATCTTATTGAGTTCTAATATTTATAAAATCATAATTTAATTATATTTTATAAAATAAAATACATGAAGATATTTATAACCAATATATGTATTTACTCTAATAATTATCTATTATTTAAAAGTAAGTAAATATAAATTAATTTCATAATATCTTCTAGAGAAGCTTATTAAAAGCTTCATAGATATAGTTTTGACTATATACATGTTTGTAGTTGATTAGTAGGTTAGAAACCTGGTCAACAAGTTAACTACATGCTACACATGTTGATAGCTTGTAGAGCAAGCTAACAATGTGGCACACATATAGAAAACTTGCCTTGCAAATTAAAACATGTGTCTAGCAAAATCAATATGTATTGGAGGTCTTGTAGAACATCGCCACATAGCTCCTAGTTAGATAGTATATATAGAGGCAAGAGTGAAGCCTTCTTCATTCTTATCAATGCTTTTTTAGTCCTTACTCTTGTTTCAAGACTTTCTACTCTTCTTGTCTTAAGCAATAGCCATTTTGATTCAATATAGTATAATCTTTGAGTTATTTTTTAGTCTTTTTGAGTAACACAAGAATGTATTGAGGCTTATTTTTTTTTTTTGAGATTTATGTCCTTGATAATTTGTCAAAAATACTAATTTATTGTTCTTATTTTGTTTTAGAAGTGAATGGATTATTCCATTTTTATTGTTGTATTTTGAAGGTTGCGGACTATCTACCTTTAAATAAATAATATAGTTTTTTAACACTAATTTTTTTCCTTAAAAAGAATATATTATCCTTTTTTGTAGAAATTTTCATTTGATATTAAAAGTTACACATTATCCTCCTCTAATTTAATTTTTTTAATTTATTTAAGTTGCTTTTGGAAGGAAAGATTATGGATGCTACTCTAAGCAAAAGTAAGAATAGATTTGCAACTATTGCAAATCTTTATAAGCTTATTAACACTCTAAGAATAAAAATCTCATATAGTCTTAATGTGTATCATAGAGGTATCATTCTTATACATATGGAAGAAGCCTAAAATCTATGCCAAGAAGTTGTATAATTGAAGGAAGCAAATAAATGAGCTCCACAACCAAATTTAAGAAGTCTCACTTCTATAAGCACAAGAGAGGCAAGAATTAGTATGCTCAAGAAGTATGATAGAATAAGATCAAAATTTTAAAGATTTTTGTAATAAATTAAGCTCTATTTAAGATTGTATCTTTTTAAATATCTCAATGGATTTATTCAAGTTTGATTCATAGCTGTACTTCTATCAAAAAGTGTTCTTTCTTGGTTTGCACCGTTGATGGAAAAGGATTCATATCTACTCTATAATTTGAATTCATTTTTGGAAGTATTTATGGCTACATTTAAAAAATATGATTGAAAAAGAATAGAAGAAATCAAGCTTATATTACTAAGACAAGGATCGTATTTAGCCATCACATATGCTCCCAAATTTTAAAATCTTGTTTGTAATGTGGATTGAAATGACAAAGCCTTCATCAATTGATTTAATATGGATTAAAAGATAATATCAAAGTCTTTATTAATCAATTTTAATATGGATTAAAAGATAATATCAAAGATTTATTCTAAACAATGCCAAGAATAGATTTATTTGAGTAATTTATTGCTCAAGCCATTACATGTGACAATTGATTTTTTGAAAGATACTAAAAATGAAGATTTGATTGAAGAAGTACAAATGAAGCCGTAGCAACACCTTCTAAGTTTTTGGAAGCATACTTATTCAAGCTAGAGCCTATGCATATTGACACAATATGTTTTAAATATCTTACTGAATAAGAAAAGTCTAATTATTGTCAAGAATTTTTATACTTATATTTTAGACAATCTAAATATATTATTCAACATTTTTTAAAGAATATCCAAAATTATAAAATGATGAGCATGGTTGCCAAAGAAGACAATGTGTCAAAAAACAAGTTTTTTTAACTACAATAAGGACCATGCAGTTGGAATCTTAAATAATACCTACTTAAGGTCTTATTCTCTTCTTAGATCTTTCACCTTCTCTCATAATAGAAGTCTATTTAGAAATAAAAAATCACAAAATCTTATCCTTATTAGATTCAAGAGCCTCAACTTCTTTTGTAGACAAAGACTTTGTAAAAAAATAAGAGATATTGTTAGTCAAAAAAACTTAATCGATACATGTAGAAATCATAGTTGGTCATATGTTATCTTTTGGAGATCTTACCTATGAGCTTTTTTCTTTAAATGTAGCAATTAAAGATTATAATAGTATAATAATATTTAATGTAACAAGATCTCTATCCAATCTAGTTACTTTAGGATTATCGTGGTTAAAAAAGTATAATCTTTAAATAAATAGGATTTCTTGTAATCATAATTTTTCTTATAGTTTGATCAAAATTTTTGTTAATCAAGTAGAAATACATTAGTCTAGTATATCCAAACCATTATTAATAGATGCAAGAGTTTTTATGCATGCTACAAAAGAAAGATTATCTTTTTTTATATATGCCATGCCTATCTTTGATGGTGGAAAGACATCAAGTAGTATTCCTTGCTAATACCGAGATTTCTAGGATGTTTTTGAAAAAAATAATACAAATATTCTTTTACCATATCAATTTTATGATTGTTTAATTGATTTATAAGAAAGAGCTCAACGACCATTCAAATCAATCTACAACTTATCGCAAAATGAATTGACTATACTAAAGGAGTTTATTGATAAGAATTTGGCTAAAAAATTTATTCACTATTCAAAATCTCTTATAGAAGCTCCTATCTTATTTGTAAAGAAAAAAATATAGATCTCTATAGATGTATGTAGATTATCAAGGATTTAATAAGATCGCCATCAAAAATAGGTATCCATTATTTTTAATTTGAGGACTTCTCGACGAACTCAATCAAGCAAAGATCTACACAAAAATAAATCTATGAGGAGCATATAACTTGATCTGTATCAAAAAAGAAATGGATAAAATATTACTTTTTGAATTAAATATGGACTTTTTAAATATAATATCATGCCTTTTGAATTCACAAATCTATTAGTTATTTTTTAATATTTTATGAATAATATTTTTTATGAATTTTTTTATAATTATTTTATTTTTTATTTAAATGTTATTGTAATCTATTCTTAAAATACAAAAAAAATATGAATTTTATGTTTCTTGTGTATTATAAAAACTTAAAGATATAGGATTATATGCCAAGATAGAAAAGTGTGTATTCTATACTACTTAAGTTGACTTCTTAGAATATATTATTTCTATTGAAAAATTAATGATAAATCCAAATAAGATCCAAATTATCATGGATTGGAAGATTTCAAAAATAGTCAAAGATGTGCAATATTTTTTGGAATTTACTAATTATTACAAGAACTTCATGAAGAAAAATTTGCAAGTTGCAACTTTTCTTATATATTTGATATGTAAAGATAAACTTAAGTACAACAAAAAAGCTGAATTATCTTTTGAAGTCATAAAGATAATATTTATTTCTACACTAATTTTATATTATGTTGATTTTTTCAAGGCATTCTTCATGAAAACAAATACATCAAAATTTGCTCATAGTGCTATTTTTTCACAAATGAGAGTCGATGACAAGTTCTACCTAGTAACTTTCTATTTCAAGAAATTTTTAGTAGTTGAAATTAATTATAAGATCCATGACAAAGAGCTTTTTGAAATCATGGATTCATTTCAAAAACGGCATTATTATTTAAAA